CTCCCAGGCAGGTGTGAGACTGACAGGTCGAGAAAAGATGACACTGTTTCTTTCCTCGGAAGATGAAAAGCGAGCAGGAGAGATGTCGGCAGAGGCTGCGCTCTGGGTGTGTGGGAAATCGGACACCCTGCCAGGCGCTGGCCTTTGGGGTGAACCCCACTTTCTCTGAGCTCTGGTTACTTCTCCTGTCTCTCAGGTGTCAGCCAAACTCGCCCCTGGGGCTCGGAAATCTGCGGCGGGGGCTGTCGCACCTCCACAGAGCCCCCCCTCCCCCTGGACTTTCCAACTTGCAGCCTGAGGTGTGTGCACGGTCTGACTTCTCCTGGTGCACGTCTTGCACAAAGCATCTCAGGCAGGGGCTTGCTAAGCTCCGGCAGCAGCGAGGGTCCACATGCAAGGGACAGAGACTCCACCCGGCTCTGGCTCAAGGGACCCTGTGAGTCATTAGGCCTGACCAGTGACCATGATGTCCCAGGGTGAAGTGGGAGGCCTGGGGATGTGCCCTCTGCTGCAGGGCCACCAACCAGGGTGACTCACAGTTGGACCCCGAGGGGAAGTTCCGTCTGGCGTCCTCTGGATGGCTCTGGTCCCCGGGTGAGATCATCCCCGCTGCTGCAGACACTCAGAACTGGGACTCGCTTCTTTCCCAGTGGAGCCCAGACTTTTCACTCTCAATTACCATCAGGGCAGAAGCCATCCTCTGGGCCGCGGCTCCCTGCCCTCCCCGCCACACGCCACATGATGGATGGCGCCGAGGAAAGCGTGCCTCCTCCCTGGACGTCAGATTTTTCATCGGTAAAAAATACGTCTTCCTCCTTCTGATGTCACTCAGGAGCCCGCTGGGCTCCAAGGTAGTGAGTGTGACCTATCTTTGAAAGGAAATATGCAAAATCTGTGCATGGGAGCAACACCATCACACTGCTGTCTACGACTCCTGCTCGGGGGACTGGGGACCAGACTCCAGGATACTATCTTGCCCCATCTCCCCAGGCCACGGGTCTGGAGGCAGAAGTGCGAGCCACGGGGTGGGAAAGTGTCCCCAGCGGAGTCTCCCCAAACACTCTCAACCTAGGCAGACACACCCAAGTAAAGGCTCTCTGGCTCCCACTGCCCCTTTCTTTCTCTAAGCTTTTCTAACAAAGTGCACACACAGCAGGTCCTCAGTTGACTCTTCTGTCATGTGCAGGAGCAACAGAGAAGTCCCCAAGGAAGGACACCAGACTTTCAATCCCTAACGGGCTCAGTTTTCAGGTCGCACACAATCACAAGACCTTTGCTAGCAACCTCCAGGACTGGGTCTTCCTGGACACAGTCTTCCTGGACACATTCTAAGAACACAGGGGATCAGATGCCAGCTCTGGGGCACCGGCACGCAGCCTGGCCCTCCTTGGTGACTGTGGATGCAGGTTGGTCGAGACACAAGAGGAACCTTGGCAAGGCCACTTATCTCGGCCACTCTCCATCTGTGCTCCTGGAGAAAGAAGCGGAGAGGAAGTCCCAAGGGGGCAAGCCAGTAAGGTCAAGAGCTCTGAGGGACCACACGGTATGATGTCACTGTCACGACTCCCCTGAGCCCACCCAGCCCCCCTCATCACCCCAACATAACTGGCAAGGGAGGTAAGTATTCTCTCTCTCTCTCTCTCTCTCTCTCTCTCTCTGTTTTCCTGTGGCCTTTTGCTGTTCCTTTCATTCTCATTCTTTGCTTCTGGGCCTGCGACACACCCTTGTGACCCCAGGTGGCTCTGCGGGTTGGGGAGTGGGAGGAGAAGGACCCCCACAGCAAGCCTCAGCCACAGTACAGGAGGTTCTCCCAAACCCACAGTCGTGGCCACCAAGGATCAAGCCGAGATGTGGTTGTGGCTTTTCAGCTCATCTCCACCGTCACGGTCACTTGGTTTCCACGTGCATGGGATGGGACGAGAGAGAAATGGGCACGCCCAGGGCCCCTCCTGTCTGGACCCCCTGCCCTCCCCACCTGTCGTCTGGGCTTCTACAGCAGCCCCTGCAAAGGGGCCTGTGAACCGAAAGTCCCACACAGCCCACTGGGCTAAGATGCTCCTCTCCCTGGCTTCCCGGAAGGCAGGGCCTGGGCTCCAGGCCCCGCCCTGCGCCCTCCCACACTTCCCAGGCCCACTCCTGCTGGGCTTCCTCTGCACTTCCTCCCAGATTTCCTCCAAGTCCCATCTCCACCCGGTGCTGCCCCTTGCTCACCACCCCCACATATTGAGCTTCTCTCCTGCTCCCCCTCCGCTGCTACCCCATCACCTTCCTGTGCACTAGAGCCTTTACCGAGGGACCATTTTCTCCTGGCTGCCATCTCTCCTGCTCTACCAGAAGGCAGGTCCATAAAGCAGGATGGGGTTCACTTTGCTCAGCCCTCTGCCCGGAGCATCCCAGCAGCCGCAGGCCCCCGAGGAATATCCCTTAGGTGATGAAGGAATGGGTGGGAGGAAGGGGCTGCGTCTTGGAATGAACCGGCACTGGGTTGGGGTCCTCTGGGGAGGAAGGCTGAGGGCTGGCTGTTGTTCAGAAGGTGTCTGGTCCTGGGGTGGGATTCAAGCAGAGGGAGTGAGGATGGATGGGAGGGGAGATTTGGCGGCTGGAGGGCCATGACAGGTTTCTTAAAAATGAGAAAGTGATATGTCGAATGTTGGGCTGAAGAAAGAGGCTTAGGGAAGGTGTAAAGAGGGTTCACTGGGAGGAAAGTCTGGAAGTCCAAAGGTTGGAGCCCTGGTGGGCACCCCAGCTGTCCACAAAAGCCGAGAGCAGACGGGGAGGGAGGAGGGATGCATGGGACCCTGCTAGAAACCATCAGGACTTGGTGTGCTAGTGGAGGGGACCCACTGGCAGCCTTCCTTGTCACTGGTCTGTGTGGACTAAGATGGCAATAGTGAGGACAGGAAGTAACAGACAGGGCATCTGCGATGACCCACACGTGTGTGTTATTTCACTCGGCATCAGGATTCCCCTAAGGATAGGGAAGGAGCATCACCATGGTCTAGAGGAGGAAACCGAGGGGTAGAGATCTATCCAAGAAAAGAAAAGAAGAGAAGAGAAATTTATCTAAGATCATCTCTGGAACCATCAAGATAGAAAGCAAAACAGAAAGCGCTGACATTTTTGGAATGCTTAGAAAGTCCCAGGCACTGGGCTGGTCACTAACTGCACTGTCTCTCATTTCATTTCACAACACAGAAGGGACTCTCTTTGCTATCTCTGTTTTACAGATGGGGAAGCCAGAGCCCAGAGAAGGGAAGGTCACCAGGCCTGGTCACAAAGCGAGGAAGCTGGAGAAGTCAGGGTCCATGCTCCTCACGCTACGCTAGACCAGTGGGGACAAATCGGCAACGTACCCACTTTGCTCCAAACCCCTGCTTGGCATCCCATAGCGTTTCCTTTCCCAGGCTCAGTGGGAGAAACGGAGACCACCTTTTGCCTCCAATCAAACATGCCCACATTCTGAACTTCGACGCCAGGGCCAACACCTGAGAAGACCTCCAGTCAGAACTACAGCTGCCTCTGAAAGAAAGGTCTAGCTAGACGCTATAGACCAGTTCACCCTTAGGTACAGGGAGCAGCTGCTCACTCCACATCCTGCATTATTAGGACCAGACTTCAGCCAGCCGCCCTCCAGAAGCCTCTAAGATCCTGTTTAATCCTGTGGACAGTCTCTGTGCTCTGAAGGCCAGCAGGTGCAATCCACCTGCTCCTCCATCTCCTAGACCCACAGGCTTTGCATCACCTGCCCGAGGGTTCTTCCTGCATGCTGCAAGACCTCTGTGCTCTGTGGTGAACTCCACATGGAAAGTGCATGGGGCAGGAGCTGCTGGATGACCTGTCAGGCAGGTGAGTCCATCCGCTGTCCCTATAAGCAGCAGTATACCACAGCAATGGCATGGTCCTGGCTTTGAACCCTGGTTTCCCTCGCAAATTTCCTGTGCAATCTCAGACAAGAGACTGTACCTCCGTTTCCTTGCCTATGGGTTGGGCAATAGTGTGACCTACCTGCTACAGCTGCGCGACACACAACTGAGTTAAGCCACGTACAGCCATGAGAATGTAACCTGCCCTGAACTAACCGCGCTGTCGATTCTTAACAAACCTAGGTCTCTGGGCCCTCCCTGATGGCTAACTTTGAGGCTGCTGCCTGCCAACTGGGCTTTGTGCTGGCACACAGGGCCTTACAGGGATGCTCTTGCAAGGGTTTGTGCAAAGAAGCAAAAAAAACCCCCAAAGTAACAAGAGCCACAGGGATGCAGCTGTGCAGCGGCCGCTTACAACTCACCTCTGTCCTTGGCCTTCTTTCTTGGGACGAAGCTCTAATCAAGTCAGCAGGGAACCTCTGATTTCACCTAGAAAAATAAGAGGATGGTTATGACAAGAAAAATAACGGAACTCATCTGCAGGCTTAATCCGTGCAGCGGGAGCTGCTGAAGGCCACACAGCCCCCGCCAGGGAGTTCAGTGGCTTATTCTTCTTCACAGAATAAAGCCACGTGAATTCAGAAGAAAAGGGAGAGATTCACGTCTGATGCCAATTGTGGACGCAGCAGGCCAATGAATATTTTCAAAGCAATGTGGGTATTTATTCATTTATTTATTTTGGTACCAGGGACTGAACCCAGTGGGCATTGAACCACTGAGCCAGATCCCCAGCCCTTTTTCAGAATTTTTTTTTTTTTTTTTGAGACAGGGTCTCACTGAGTTGCTTAGGGCCTCACTAAGTGGTTGAGGCTGGCTTTGAACTCTTGATCCTCCTGCCTCAGCCTCCCAAGCCTCTGGGATTACTGGCCTGCACCACTGCACCTGGCTGTGTTTTTTTAAGGTAATAAATCAGACATAGAATAAACTCAAAGTAAATGGATATCAAATTGGATAGTAACTTTTGTCAAGTTAGAACAAGCTTGAATTTACAATGGACCTTGACTACAAAACAGCTAGGGAGAAGCACTGGGTTCTATCTTTATTGGGCCTTTTATGCAAAGACTCCTATGACACTGTTTTTGATCGTGCCGATCGTACTGTATGCTTGAATTCATTAAATGGTCTAACACCGTAGGAGCATCTAGCTCCACATCTGGCCCCTATGGTTCATAAATAGGGCATTCCATAAGTATCAGTGATGCTATGATTGATTAAGCAGTCCTGGTAGGCTTCTAGAGAGTGAGGCTCTTACAGCAACCACAGAATTCCTGGACAGACCCTCTCCAGTATCAGCAGGACCGTATCTGCTGCTGCTGCTAAAATAGAGTCTTCACCTTAAAATCCGGCCCCTGTTCAATCTAACTCAGACACCGAGAGAGTAGTATTTCAAAAGGTGTTTAAAGATAATAGCCTTATTCTAAGCGTCCCCATCATTAAGCTCAAAGGAATTACTCTAGACCCTTGGGTTGGCAAATAAAAACACAGAGAAGAAAGAGAAAGGGGAAAAGAAGACGATCAGATTTGAAACAGAAAACTCGTCACCTTCGAGCACAAGAGAAAGGATTGTTTGGGTGGTGCTTGGGTTCTCTGCCGAATACATATCACACACCATCACTCAGTGCTCTGAGTTCCTGAGGACAGGGCTGGGCGGTTCTCCATGGCCAACCCATCCGCCCTTGCTCGCCAGGGGTCCAGATGGAGGAGGGGGAGGGCCTGCCTGCGACAGGTTTGCTGGGCCTGCCTCCGGCTACCACGTCCACGAACTCATTCCAGGACTGTCCTTGAGTGCAAGAGGCTTTGACCACAGGGCAGAGCCGCTGGACCACTTTAGCCCTGGTGGACTGTGCAACGCTGGGATCCACAGGCCGGCTGATGAGATGTGGATTTCCCCTGGGGAGGTTGGAGCATGCTTTCCACCCGATAAGCTGAGGGTGGGTTGGGCAGGTAGGGGGGTAACTTTGCATAAAGCAGGATTGGACTCCATTCCAGATGCCAGAGTTGGGGTCCGAGAGCATGGTGGGATTGGCTTGCTCTCTGTGGAGCTTTCTAGCACTTGCCAGCAGCCCAGTGGAACGGGATGTTGCCGAATTGTGGATTCAGGGGGTGGTGGGGCCGAGAACAGACGGTGGGTAGCCAGGGCCTAGGGTTGCCCCCTGTTGCATCTTCATCGCCCCTGGGGACCTCAGGGCAGCCAACCCCAACTCTCTCTCCAGCCAGAGCCTTCCCCTTTGGGGTGGACACAGTCCTCCTCCTCCAGGAGGCCTGGAGATGTGCCCAGGGGACCTGTGGAATGCCAGATGGGGCAGGACATTGCTCACATCCCAAGAGACAGCAGCCCCCACCCTTTCTGTACTCTGACTCCAGGCACTCCAAGCCCTGGCCCCAAAGTGCTCCTCTACGGATCTCCGCATTGAACAGAATGTTTGTTTCGGTCAGTCCTTAGAACCTGTCTCCTTCCCCTTGGCCTTTAGCGTTGGCATGGAGACCCTGGCCTCCCGGGGAGCCTGGCTGCCTACGGATCCCAACTCTCTACCCTGACACCCTGGCTGGCCTCAGCCATGGCTGCACACCCACCTCCCCAGCATGTCACCCTGCCCTGACTGTCCTCACTGCCCATGACAGCAGGACAGGGAGGGACAGCATGCCTTCCTAAGCAGGCCAACAGCAGCATGCCACGCCCGCCCCAAGCCAGGCCCCTGCAGGAAGCCAGCCCCTCCCTCCTCCTACACCTCACACCCCACCAGGCCCTTCTTCAGGACACCCCCATGCCTGAGCACCATCTAGCGGTTCCTGGCCCAGCCACCACCTCAAAGTCACCTCTAACTAAGACAGAAGGGCCCACCCCGATGGAGGAACCCAGAAACAATAGCCCCCCAAGTGAGGACACGAGAAGACACCAGCCCGGAGAATGGTCAGTCCCACAAAATGCCTTCTCCAAAAAGCACCACTGTCTCAGTAAGCCACCCTGGATCAGAGACCCCGTGTGCAAGAGCAGGATGGGGAGGGACGGCTTCGACACCCAGAGACCTTTTTTAGAGCCCTCTCTTTGGCCAGAATGGGGAAATTCTTGGACCTTAGAAATGGGTCCCAATCAGAGGGGAGTGACTACCTTTCTCATGACAAAACAGGCCACAAAGCTCCCAGAAGATTTGTCTCTATTTTCAAGGAGCATTCCAGAAGCTCCCCAAGGCCAACATACCCACTGGCTGGAGAGACTTTCCAGGACTCCCGAAAAGGGTCTCATTTCTTTGAAAAGCAGAACAACCGAGTGGACGTCTAAGGCCTAGATGGTGAGGAATCCAGCCTGGCTACTTTTTATCCTGGTATCATCGCGGTCATCCAATAAGGGAAGAAGGGACCTGGGAGGACAGAAATGCCAAAGGCCATGAGCGTCGTAACTTGAACCTGAAGGTACCAGCTTTTTCACAACCTCCACACTTGCCAGACTTTACTGAGGCCCCTTGTTGAATGACTCCTCTGTTGCCACCGCAGAACTTTCCAGAAGACCCCCCCACTCCAGTTGGGGGACCCGCCCCCGACGGCCTCCCTTGGGCTCCTCCCTTTCACTCTGGGCTGTGCCCCAGGTTCTCCTGCCACCTCGGGCAGGTTCACCTGAGGCCCCTGCGCCCTGGCCCCGTTTCTGGCCAGGCTGTGCCCAGAGGCCTCCGCCCCCGCCTGCTCGTGAGAAGCGCCGGCTGGCAGGAGGAGCAGCGACTCCGAGGTCCCAACACAGGCTCTCTCTCGGCCCCCTGCAGCATAAACACCGGGCCTGCATCACACCCAGGCCTATAAAAGATAATTACACAATCTGATCTGGCAAATTAGTGCCACCCAACTGTCTAATTCTCACAATGAGTTCGAGGGTTGGATCGGCAGGAAAAATTAACCTGGATCTTTATTGGGATTCGCCCCCAGGTCAGGATTAGGGTTCGTTCATCTCTTTTATTTTCTCCCACCCCACCAGGGCTAGGCGTTCCGGGGGCTGTCTGCTAGGCATTTGCACACGTCACCCCACTCCAGGGAAAATCAAAGGAAGCACCCAGAGAGAGAGAGAGGGTAGGCAGGCAGAGGGGGGAAGGTGTTTACTCACAAGAAGGAAAGCTAGGTCGTCCCAAATCAGGGGAGTCATTAGCCGAGACCAACAAACTGAGTTCCCAGAGGGCAATCTGCTCCCTCATTCCTCTGGCCCGACTCTGAGACTGTGAGTGCTTGCTTGGAGAACATCCCCACCTTCCTCGAACGCACCCCTCTTCCTGTTGGCCCCATCCCTCCCAGGAGCCAGTCTTTCTAAAGGAGAGGGTCATTAAGGGGAGGTAGCACCCAGCTTCCTAGCTTGATAAACGGGCAGATCACTGAAGAATGGTTCCCACAGTGCCCAGGCAGCTGACAACAGGCAGAGTTATCCTTCATCTAACACAAACACAGAGCAGCCGCCACCCCCCCGCCCTTTTTCAGGGGTTAGGGGTACTTTTCTGGGGGTTCTTAATCTCCCACCCATACTCCTAAATCAGCTCTGAAATGACCACTTGCCTAGAACTCAAAAGACTCATTTTCTCTCAGGGAAATGGGATTATGAGGTGTGCAGAGGCCCAGAGAACTTTCTCTACACTGCGGGATACTGCAGGATGGACCCATCAAATTATCCAAATGTGCCTCTCTATCAGAGCCACCTGGCTGAAGGAAGCAGTGTGCTATTCCAGGCCAGTGCATGTGTGCTGGGTGGGGTAGGGGTGGGAGGATGGCGGTGGGAGGGTGGCTGCAGCATTTGGCTTTCCAACACGGCATGAGAACCAAGCTTCCCCACTTCAGAGCAGGGTTGACTGTATGTGGGCAACCTAACACATGTATGGGTATTGTGTGTGTGGGTGTGTGGGTGTGTGTGTCCCCACGTGCAAATAGTTTTTCCTAGGACCAAATGTCTTATTGGAAAAATCAAATAGTTTTAAATAACTGCCTCTATCTTAAAGTGGTGAAAATGCTCCTTGTGCCTCCCGCATAAGGATTCTGGGCGACCCGCTTGGGCGTGTGAAGAGGAACCCACACACACATTGTCAGCCGGATTGCAATCTTGGTGGAGTTCTAGCCAAATCTCAGGCTTCAGTTCCAAAATGGTTGAGACAAGTGTGCACTTTCTGGAAGCAGATAAACACCACTCCCATCCTCCCAGATGGTAGAGTCTTAGCTGGAGGAGGACGCAGCGCAGAAAAATACCCTGAGCAGGGAATCCAGCGATCCGAGCTTCATTCTGAAGAGAGATCTGCTGTCGGCATGAGAAGAAAGCCCGGAAGACAGACCTGAGAACACGGGAGAGCCAGGAAAAGTGCTGTCGGCACTGGGAAAAAAAATCCTCAACACACTGAGATGGCTTCCAATACAGGCACCCACCTAGGTGTTCCAGGGGCAGGGAGTCGAGTGTCCTTTTTCTCAACTGAAAAATGTGGAGGGCAGCAGTGACCACTTCTTGCCCCTTCTAAGAACCTCTGCCATCAAAGCTGGGGTTTTCTATTTCGGGATGTAAAAGAGGACCGTGACTGTTTCCATGTCAATACCAAATTAAAAGGTGCATTCAATAGCTTTGCAGAATTCCTGGGCCCATAGGAAGTAAATCAGTAAACGCTATCTGTTTCTACTACCATAAAAAATTATACAATTTCACAAATAAAAATAAATGCAAAGAGAAAAAAATATTACAGAATTTCTTAAGTTATTAAAACAATAAAGAAAACAAAAAGCTAACGGTAGTCCTCTCTGGGTACTAAGCTTACACGTGACTAGTTTCCTTATTTCTGCACATCTAAAGCGAACGTGCATTGTTTTGTGAAGATAAGCTACGGTATTTAAAAAAAATAATAATAATTAATGGTCATTTATTAGTTTGAACTAGAAATAAAGATGATAATGTAATCTGAAAAAAAAAAACAGTAAAAATGTAAGTTGTAAGACTTTGCCACATCAGAAGCCAGGGACAGAGAGTGAATTGGACTCAGAGTTGGGGGCTCGAGGTGCCATCTGGCAAAGGTACCCATGGAACCAGGCATGACCCAGAGGGAGATGGCAAGTGCTCCAGGGTCATCTCAGAGGCAGTTAAAATTGCAGGGACAGAAGGGGGCAGCTTCCACAGAGAGGTAAGTGGACACTGGCTTGGACTGTGAACGTGACCTAGAGTCCTCACCAGCTGACGGGCAGCAAGCCACAGGGTAGGACTTTGCAGACACCTTCGCCATGACAGACAGGGCTCCAGTGTCTCTAGGGCCCCACACCCTGGACCACACTTGTTAGGCAGCCGAGCCCAGAAGCAGAGGGCAAGACCCCCACCCCTGACATGGCCTGGAGGGGCTGGGAGAGAAAGGGGCCTGCGGTCCCCATGGACACTGAAAGAGGAGATTGACCTGAGAACCAGGATCTGCAGGACCCTTCTGCCAGCAGAGCCCACCTCCAAGGGCATGTGGGGGTCAGGGATGAGGAGACCTCCTTCAGACGCCCCAGGTGCAGAAGATGCCCCTTCTCCTCCCTTTTGGCCTCCCTTGTTAGTCCAGCATAAAGCGGGACCAGAGGCGGGATGAGGCCTGTCCAGGCCCCTCTCCCTGGACAATGCTCACATTCCTGCTCCGGACCTTGTTCCCAAGCTGCAGTGTGTCAGCTGCCCCCACATCACCCCCTTATAAACTGAGTTTATCCCACGACTGGTCACTTTTGCTAATGCTGCCCATGGTCCATCTTCTTATAGTCCCGTGACCGCAATAACAGCTCAGATCGTTGTTAACCTCAGGACCAGGATGTTCCTGTAATAATAATGTCGTTTACCAAGTGCTTACCATGTTCCTTAATTCCCCGGGGTGCCTTGGGGCCTTTGCACTAACTCTTTTCCTTGGCCTGAAACACCCTGGGTAATGTGCAAAGTCTCCACTCGATACTTCTTCACTGAGGACCTCCCGGACAACCCAGTCACCCAGGCCACCCAAGCAGAACAACCTGCTGTGTTCTTCACCTCACCTGAAATCATGCTTGTTTATTCCATTTTTGTTTGTGTCTCTACCCCTGAGACGGTTAGGACCTTGAGTGCAAACAGCTTGTCTCTTTTCTCCACTGTAGGATCCAGCACTCAGGAGGTGAGTTAGAGTTCACCCCTTTTGTGGTTGAACAAATGAAGGAGTATTAGTGTCCACATGGGAAAGATAAGGTAATTGAGGCATGGAGAGAATTAAAATTTGTTCACCAGGCTAGTAAGTAGTTGGGTTAGCATCTGCTCCAAGGTCCTCTGACTAGAGGTCAAGCTGACCACCCCTCACTTAGGCTCCTGGACTTGAGAGGTGCCTGTTCTAGCCATTTCATGTCATTCTCAGCTAAAAGAACAGTCAGCTCTGCCAAGCTCTGCTCAACAGTCCTCGATAGCTCCCTACTGCCTTCTGCCTGCAATCAGAGGCCATCCTCACTCTGAGCCCTCTCCTCTCTCCAGCCATGTTTATAGGACTCCCCTGCAGGTGTCCAACCTTTCCTCCCCAGACCTCAGCTCCTTGCTCCCCAAACCTGCAATACCTTCTCTTCTCTGCCTCTCTCTGACGCTTCTGGGCTAAGCCCAGGCCATGCCCTGTCCCTCAAGAGGCCATCTGACTTCCCAGACCTCGCTTGAGCCACAGCATTTAGTGCATGTGCCCCCTGGTTGGCACTGAACCTAGGACGATGCAGGGATAGGTCACCTGTCCTTTCCCAGGAGACCAGAAATGGCTCTAGAGTGAGCAAGGGACCTCCTGTGTTTGAATTTCTGGAGCCTGGCTCAGAGCACAAACCACGGGAAAGAGCAGAGCAGTTGACTGACATCTCTCAGTACGGCCCTCCGTGGTGCACAGCCGTCCTCCATGATAGCCAAGCTTTCTCAAGGTCGCTCAGCTGAAGAGCTGGATTTGCTGCTCACAGGGGCTCTCTGACCCTGCATCCCTGACATGGTCCCTCGCCTGCGCCCACCTGGAGCTGCAAGCAGGGGTCCGACTTTTCACTCTCTCCTTAGTCTTCCTTGAGTAGACTCTAACTTGAACTTGAAAGCACAGCCCAACTCACCGGGCTTTAAAAAAACAACAGAAAAACCTGGAAGTTTACAAGCCCATCAAACCGCATCTTTGCCCCCAGGGATGCCCACGGAAGACAGCGTCCAAACAGAGGCCGGGCATCCCCTGACCCAGCCTGTGATGTCACTGTGGTTGCTTGCCACTCCCAGCCAGCTGACGGCCGAACCACAGAAGGTGTCCCAGGCCCAGGTCCACCACCCTCGTGCCAAGCCTGAGCCCCGTGTCTGGGTTTTACCATGTTTAAATGGAAAATAAAATGCTCGACTCAAAAACACTTTTCCAATGATATTTTAAGG